TTCCGCCTTTTTGGCGCGCACTGGCTGGCTGGAATATTCACAACCGACAGAGACTGCAAGGTCAGCGCGCAAGAACACTGGGGTGTCTGGGTCCAACGAGTCCAGTCAAATTCAAAAGGTAGCCATTCTAAAAAAATGTTCTAAGTAAAATCCTAAATAGAAACCTCGAACCGTTACCAGAAGTCTTCGCCTCCGTTCGCGCCTTTTGGTTTATGGTGAATTTCCGTGTTGTTGCATTGTTCAGCGCATATTCCCAAAAGGCTGTGCCTGTCACCAAATCCGCATGCTACAGAAGCCACCATTTGTTCATAGGAAAAGGCGGGATGCGTTGCTCATGCATCCGATTTTCAAAAAGTTGCTCATGAAAAAGCTGGTGTCGTCTAGGTGGCCCAGATGTAAGCTAAGGTTCACTGAGCTTGTACTTCAAGTCCATGCATTTCTTTGCACTACCCAGCTCGGTGTGGGATGGAACGTCTGCTTGCCCCCCTCACCTCATTGTTTCACATCACCCAAATTCGCAAAGGGGTGGAAGTATAGGAACTCAAAAGCCATTTTAAAGCTGGACGTTGACTTTGTCAGCCTACAGTCACACGACTGCCCCGTCGTACCTCCCAGCAATGACAAAAACAACACCGCATATGCATCCAAAACGCCTGCGGCTCGTCGCCAATATACCAATGCCCAACAGTCAAAAGGCGGCCAGAATAATGCGTCGCGAAGCCACCGAGGGAGTTTCTACAGTGGAGAGTACGTTTACAAACGAGGAAACGGTGTTGACATCACATCGAACTCGCAAGTAACAAAAATGAAAATAGTCGACACCACGCAATACAAGCACGGCTTCATCAATGTTACCTTGCCTGATGGGAAGATAACAAAAATAGACTTCCACTGCAAGGGCGGCATGTTTCCAGACGAGACAAATGCTTTGAATGATTCATGCCGCCAGCTGGGGCTCATGTGGGAAGATAATGCAGACATGGTACGCGAGGTGCGCAACGACATGATCAAGGTTGGTATGGTTTCCATGTGCGGTGGTTTAAATGTGAAAGCTCCCACACTTTCAATGTTTGGGGCAAAAGGACTCGGGGTGGTAAAAAAAATGAACATAGAAGCTAGAAACCTCTGCGCCCAAATGATGCCTGAACTGCTGGAGGAGATTTACATGCGTTCTCCTGCAAAGGTACCCGATGAAATCGGTGGCCAGCAAGGTTTGTGCTCGATTATGTTCCAGTCACAAAACTTAGAAAATGAGTCCCACTTCGATCACAGCGACTTGTCAAGATGCTTTGCCATCTGGACATCGGCGGATGGGAAGGACCACGACGGTTGGTACCTCGTCTTTCCGAATATACGCTACTCCGAGTCGTCTCCCGGCGTCACCTACGATGGCCTAAGTAATCGGTACGTCTGTACTTTGTTTTTTATACGTGTATAGATAATATATAACGCATTTTGTCGGTCTTTACGTTACGTGTGTACATACTGGATTTTCTACACGTTTTTTACATGTTCCGTGCCGAATTTTTTGACGCTTGTCCGCTTTTTTGACGCTTGTCCTGACGCTTGTCCGCTTTTTTTGACGCTTGTCCCGACGCTTGTCCGCTTTTTCCGACGCTTTTCCGACGCTTGTCCGCTTTTTCCGACGCTTTTCCGACGCTTGTCCACATCTTTGACGCTTGTCTCGACTTTTTCCAAACGACCGTTGTAACTAAAACTTTTTGAATTCGTCTCTTGGCATTTTGAATGTTTGAATCTAACACAAATAAATTTCAAAATGCCAAAGAGGAAAAAGACAACGAAACCCAGGAAGTTGAAGTTGAATGATAAGGAATGGGGTGTATTCTTTGCCAGGCATGAGTGGACCTACATCCCAGTGACAAAACAGATGAGACAGAAGGAGCCCCGCGTTAAACATCCGAATCTGGGTAATGATCACCAGTATTTGCGGGGAAAATTGGATGTCCATGATCCATAGCATACTGAACAAGCACAGCAACTGCTTCCAGCACAAACACGTGGTTCTTCAGATCATGATGATAAGTTGCATCAAGGATTCGAAAGTCCTTCCCTTGAAAAGAGCTCTTCCAGATGGTTGATTGCACAAGTCCCATTCCTTTATGGAGACGGACAATGACAGATGCTGTATCTGTTCCTTTGTTGACATGCCATGTCTGCGAATTATCCATCCATGCTTCATGGCCAGCATATTTTCCAGCAAAAATCTGGATCATCTTGCCTTTGAGAGTGTGTAAATCTACCAACTTTTATCTCATGATGATTGTTGCATGGTATTTTTCCTCCGTCGTGCTGGGTATGTGTGTTGACAATGAAACAGAGTTGTTGGTGTTTTCAACATGAAAGTATTTGAAATTCTCTCGGTCATCGCTAATGTTGAAACGAAGGGTCGGCGTGCGTGCAATGGTAGATTTTGTTGTAGATTTTGTCGTAAATTTTGTCGTAGTGTTGTCGTAATTTGTTGTAGGTTTGTCGTAATTTGTGGTAGCTTGTCCTAAGTTGTCGTAAGTTGTCGTAAATATTTTACAACAAAATTTACGACAAAATTTACAACAAAATTTATGACAAAAGACTTGTCGTTAATTATAGCTCCACTGTTAAAATTTATGACAAAAGACTTGTCGTTAATTATAGCTCCACTGTTTCGGTGAAATAATACAATGTTTTGCCCCCTAAATAATTCTATGTACCTGTAAATGATGGAGGAATTCGATGGAACAAAGTGGAGCTTGAATTCGATGCCTCCGTGCTGAGGGGGGGGAAGTCTGTTAGTCTCCCGTCACACTTTGGTTTCACTACAATCCGAGGCGTGTCCCTGTTGAGAGTTTTTTTTAAGAGAAACACCCCTTAAGAGACAAATTTTGAGGAGACACAAATTGCACGGTCCGTCTGTCACCCGTACCATTTCAAGCGCATATGTCTGTTATTCGTCTGCAAAGAATTATTAGAGCAGAGTGGCAAGAAGGATATCACAGTTGAGGCTATTCTTGCTCCAACAGGTGGTTCCACCAATGATCCAGATGATTCGGACGCTGAGGAGGAGGTGTTATGTTGTCCTTTGGAACTAGATGCTTCAATGCTAACAGCAGACTCGAAAGACTGCTTAGTAGGAAGCATGGAATCTAAAATGTACCTTAAAGATTATGGTAGTTTTCTTATCAAATGTGGTTCAATTGTTACCTGAAACTGCAAATTTCGAAAAGTGGCTCTAACCACATTGGCATCGCAAGAAATACCCATTAGATATTGACACATAAAAGCATTCAGGGGGGGGGGGGCTTCGTCAGGGGAGAACTTGTGCCATGCCTTGAACGCTTGATAAATATATTCAGCTTCCTCTTGTTTCTCTTTTTTTTGTCGTGAAACCACTCATTCACTTCAGCTTTGGTAGGTCCAACAAATGCAATATTGTTTGCCATGGGCATGGTTTGCTGAGCATCTTCTTCTTGTTTGCGGTGGAATGCAGCCATCCTCTTGGCATGCTTGGAATTTTTGACAACCACATTGTCCTTGATAGGAACTTTTTGTTGTTTGGCTGCAAGTATCTTTGCCATTTCTGTGACAAACACGTGGCTCTTGACTACAGCTTGAGAATCTTTGTCACCTTCTTGTTGTCCTTTTTGATAATCACACGACTTGCACAATGGGCTTTGATGGTAGCTGGCATATTGTGGAAACTTTTCAACATTATGAGCTCCACCCCACATCACGATCTTATTGTCGGCGTTTGTTGTTTTGTCACTTGGCAAGATACGGTATAGCCGCTTGCAAAATCAATGGATGATGCGGGATCTGTGCAAGCAATTGCAAACTTTGGGTGGTCCCGCCGTGCTGTCTGATTGATGTCACTCTGCAACAATGACCCAAGCCTGTATAAAATATAATACTGTAACTGTTATCACATCGAGAAGCATCATGCTATTCCCACACATGTCAACCGATCTTTGTGGCAGACTTGCACGGGATCTTTTTGGTAATTGCAATGCCAATAAGAACAAAACAGATGCTTGTCTTGACAAAGAAATCTGTGAGTCTCTGATTGGCACCACATACAAAGTGGCTGCCAAGCTTTGGAACATGATCAGTCCACTTGAAAACGACCAGATTCCACAAGGAGCCCATCCCAATCACCTGTTTTGGACCCTTTGCTTTTTGAAGAACTACTGTACCGAAACGGTATGATTCGGATTGTTGGTTTTGTGCACCCAAAAACATTTCAAAAATGGGTATGGATCTTGCATGTATTTAGATTGTTTGGCGGCAATCGTATGCGCTACCTAGCATTTAATCGATTAATGTTTCAGTTATTATTATTATTATTATTATTATTAGATTGTTTGGCTGAAACGGTTTGATGGCTGGGATGGAAAGACGCACTGTGTCATCTCTGTTGACGGTGTTGACTGTCCTATCCAAGAGATTTGGCCGTTTGATGAAGCAATCTTCTCCAAGAAGTTGAATGGACCAGGCTATAAGTATGAAATCGGTATCTGTATTGCAACCGGAGCTATAGTCTGGGTAAATGGTCCTTTCAAGGCAGGCCGTAATGACAAGACAATTTTTGAACATGATGGTCTCATGCAAGCTTTGTGTGAGGATGAGGGCGTGGAGGTGGATATGGGATATCAAGGCCTCGACCAGTTAAAAAACCCAAAGATTTCACAGAGTAAAAAGGACGGCATGCAAAAGAGTAAGGCAAGGGCCCGACACAAAAATGTGAATGGAGAGCTGAAGAAATTTGTAGTTCTTGATCAAGTCTTTCGCCACAATCCCAAGACAAAACATCAAGCCTGCTTTGAAGCTGTTGCTGTCATCTGCCAGATGCAGCACGACTTTGGAGGACATCAAAATTCTTGCGAATATGATGTGACTTACAATTAAATTCTATTCAACTTATTGACGTCCAATGCTGATGGGGAGCACTCATCATCGGAATACACCTCTAACAATCATAAATCACATATAAATACTTTTCTAAAGACAATTTATTCCAACTATGTATCCATCAAACCACTGTATAGTAGTTTCAATTTCGTTTTCAAAGGTATTGACCAGCTGAATACAGTGTTTGTCATTCACAACGGGCAGCAACCTTCCTCCCATTTGTCACTGTCAACAGATATTTTGTTTTTGTCACTTACTCAAGTCGTTTGCTGAACGGTGTGAACTTGGATATTATCTGGGACGGCAGGTAACATGGTCTGTGAGGCATCAGAGAACATGCTTTTGTTGTCATCGTCTCCACCAGACACAACGGTTTGCCTGGCTCTTTTAGACCTACTGGAGACTGAGCATTGGGCCGAATTGTCAGCAAGTCTTTTCTGATCAGGACGTGAAGCTGGCTTCTTAGCAACAGCGGTACTCAAAGCATCAACTTGGATCTGCTGCTTTTGATGAAAAGAGTAAATCATGTGCTCCTGTTCTTGCTTTTGTTGTGCCTGCTGACAAAGCAATTCTTCTTCCCGATCATGCGATTCTTTCTTCTGTTGCTCCTGCTGACAACACAGTTCTTCCTGCTGAAGAAGCAATTCTTCCTGCTGACGACGCAATTCATTCTGCTGCTGGATAGCATAAAGGGCTGCTTGTCTTGATTCTTCTGTTGCTTTATCCAATGCATCCTGCCAAAGACGCATTGCTTCCGCTTGTTGCCTCTGTTGTTCCTGAAGACGACGCAAACTCTCCTCCTTTTGGTGCTGTCGTGCAAGCGTTTCCTGGAGCTGCTTGACCGTATCTTGTAATGCAGTCAAGTCCGCCAATGGGTTGCAACAATCGGCTGTTGAACGCAGGTGTTGGTAGCAGGATGGGGCTGAAAATTGTTGCTGAAGGCGCTGTTTGGCTGCTGAATGAAAGCGTTGGCACTATTATTTGCAGGAGGCTGAGTAGGCACTATTATTTGCAGGAGGCTGAGTATAGAAAAAGAAAAAGGGAAAACAAAAAGCACCAAACCGATCGGAACTTTGCAAACAGTATTTGTAGCCTAAGTACTAGAGTCTACGTAGAAATTGCAGCAGTTTCATCAATTCAACGGCATTTCACCGTTTTACAATGGGAAAGTATACATCTCTGAAGGTTGTTTCAACGGCTGCTAAGAAGGCAGGCGGATCAAAATCTAAGTCGGGTTCTACCTCCAAAAAGAGCGGAAAGAAACGATTGGAAAATGCATCCTCTGTTGATTTATGTCAACCTAAAGACATAGATCCCAGGATCTCCAACGATTCCGGAACTCAAGAAGTGATCGACACATTGCGCCCACTGATCGACTTCGGGCTCTCCACTCAAGATTTAGTCGCTATCGGCTATGACAAGAACTCTACTCAGATCGAGTTTGGAAATCACGATTTTACAAAATGGATCGACAACCACAACGCCCGCCCTTCCCAGGTTTGATAGCCCTTTCCAGGACTTCTATGCTAAGTTCTCGGTCGAAGTTTGAGTCAATATGATTTTTGACGAATAGGATAACAACTGGCAACGTGACGACAAGAACACGGAATATATCTGGGGAGTGAGAGCGATTGCCCTACAGGTCGCCCAACAAATTCCTTTCTCCTTCTTCGATATCGGTCTCTTGGGTGATTCGGCAATTCAACAGGATGACTTGTACTTCTGTCGTGACGATTCTAATCCTCGTTTATGACAAGAGACACCTTTGGTACAATTTTGGTTGATCTGTGCTACAATGTTTGATCATCCTTGGACTATGATGTTTGACGAATTTCTAGAGGTGACTCCTGTAAGATGCATACAGGAAATGAAGACTAAAGTCATCGCTGGTTTTCCAAACGACGCGGTTGACGAAGTTGAAATCCACAAGGGTGTCAGAAAGATTTTCGATCCGGAGTATGAAGATTCCGAGGAAGAAGATGCTCCAATCGGTGACGAAGATAATGGCTTGATTAACAGGTACGCCCAACCTGACGGGTGGGATTCAGATGAGGCCGATGACAACAGCAAACATTGACAATAAGACAGACGACAATGCTGATGATGATGATGAGGATGAGGCATCCGAGGAATCCGTCATTATTGTTGAAAGCACTTGGCCGACAATGAATTTGGTGGCAGCCGATCCGGCAGAGGTCACCATGCTGAGACTCGCACCATCACTGATGAAACAGTCTCCGAATTGACAGGAAACACAGGTGATGAATCTGACCCGGAATTAGCGTCTCCGCCAAGAAAGAAAGGACGCTCTCAACGGGTGTCAATTGATGAACAAGCTACCGAAATGGACGTGGATGGAACGGACCCGAGCATATGTTCCCGACCCAGTGGAAAGCGGCTGCATCCGGCGACAAGGTTTACTAAGCCTGCTACACAGGAGCCGGCAAAATCGAGGCCTACAATGAACGCTCCCGGAGCTAAACGGAAATCCCAACGAACTTTGACGCTGGAAGAGCGCCTGGATGATTTGCGCAATGTCGACCTGGACGGAATGGAAGGCAGGGCTATGTTGGTCGAGTTGGGCATGGTCTACAATTACTCAGGTCAGCAGGATGGCAACCAATCACATGTGTCCATTATCCTGCAACATATTTTGGACACCTTGTCCGACACGTTCAGGAACACAGAAGAGACCTTTTGTATACTACCACTTTCTGACAGGACGTATAAGAACACGCAGATGTGGATTCGCAATGAAGCCAACCTTCGGCGGCTGATTCCTGACTACCGCGGGTTGTCACGATACCTCAATATATCTTTTGGCAACATGTTGTACGCGTCTACGTTTTTATCCTCAGGAGATCAACATTAAGGCCATCAAGAAAGAACTGATGCGTCATTTTGGTTGGGATATTGTCATTGGACTACGGTACAAATGGGTCAACACTCCGTACCACGGACGCAGCAAGTGGAACGAAAGAGCACCAGGGTGCATGATCTGGCACGTCTACGTGAGAGCAAGACACGCCAAGCGGGTGGACCGGGCATTACGCCTGTGGCTTCACCCCTCAACTCCAAAGAAAGATTTTCCGTGGTGCACTGTCACCCATTACATCAGCGATTAGAAGGCAGCTCAAAATGGGATAATCAGTGTTAAGGCCGTTGGTCCAGTGAAGGATGAAAACCTGACCATGATTTCGAAGCACAACGATTTTGTTGAACTTACTCAGGCCAAGTACTGCCCAGTCGAGATCCCAGGAATGCTTAAACAGGCGACCACAAAGGATTTTGGCCCTCGCACCTGTTTGTCCATGTTCCTCTCGGTCAAGGCACGGCCACTGCACGCTGATAAAGTTGCTGCGGCCGATGTGGACACCGACTCCGACTCTGACGATTCTCTCCTTGATGACATCTCTCATAAGTTTACAAAAGTGACGACCAAAGGGAAGACAAAGATAAAGAAGAAGGTCCCAAAAACTTCCAAGCATCTGTCTCTTGAGAACGATGGCCCTGTTCTGACACCAGCGCAACAGCGCCGGGCCCGAGAGTTGGAAAGGAAGCGAAAAATGGACCTGGAGAATAATGTCCCAAGCCCGCTGTTCATCATGGTTCTACCTGGCAAAATGGAAGGGACTTATCTCTTCATCAGCCGGTTGAACTACGCAGCCTTGGCAACAAACGTTTTGAAACGACTGGTTCCGTTCTTCACTCATCATTTGGGGGAATCAACGACTACTCGATCCAACAGAGTTCTGGGCAAATGGTTCACTAAGTCTCTCATCCATACGACACGCCGCAAGAAATTTGTGTGGTGCTTGGAGACTCTACGGGCACGACCAGCCGACCAAACTCATCAGGGCGTTGACAAAGCTATCGATTTTCTGGATGGGTTTAGCTCTGATCCTCTTGATGTTGGTGAAGCAAAGTTGGAATTTGATATGGATATGGCAGACGCTAAAGATATTGACGATGGAGCTACGGTTGCTGGTGCCTTGGATGAGTTGTTGGAAAAGGATAGTCAACTGGAGGCTGCTATCACGGAGATTGAATTCAAGGACAATCTCTTGTCCGAACAGAATTCTGCTTTGGAGGCCAAACGATTACAATCTGAACAGTTGGCGCACGAACTTGCCGCAATGCGCCTACTCCAACAGCCATCAGCAAGCCGCACGGATCAGCCGACTCAGCTTGACAACAGTGGGCCTTCCACCAAGTCGCCTACGGAGGAGAATATTCCTCCCTCAGAAAAGCCACACTCCTCGTCCACTCCGGCACGATCCAACAAGCCAGGCTCCCTCACCTCCCCACTGCCGGGATCTCCTTCTCCACCTGGGCCCAAGACAATGTTACCACCTCAGAGTGCCGCCACTCGCCTCAAATCCTTTGTCGAGTCAGTGACCCCGGACCAAGCCCCAAGGACGGCACCTGCAGCAAGTCCTCCCAAGCGGGACAGTGGTCCCAATGCAGAGTCTATCACTCCGTCCTTGACTGACACTCAAGATTCGGGGAGCCAATCCGATGCATCCACCCCGTCGGTCTTCCCCATCTTCCGCCACCCTCAACAGTCTCCTCCCTCCGTCCCGATTAAGGGCAAGAAGGGTAAGAAGACATCATTGGCCGGCCGTGGAGCTTCCCGCTCCACGGCAGGGCAATGAGAGGCCCTCAATCGTCTGCTGCTAGGTCACGGCGAGCAGGCAGAAGATCAAGAACGAGTGGCCCCTTGACGGGTGTTCCCCATGCATCAGTTGAGGAATTTCTAAATTCTCTTTCCCCAGGTGATTTTTTTGGCGACGATCACAGATGTCATCTACAGTTGTCGACTCGCCTCAGCAACCAGATGGAAACAACAACAGATTAACCAGTGGTTGAAAGAAGAACGAGTGGGGATTGCGTTGTTGGCGGAGACCAACACACACTGGCCTTCCCTTCTGGAAGGTCAACACTGGAACGATAGAATGCGACAAGTAGCATCTAAGGGATATTATTTGGCCATGGCGCACAATGAGAACCCAGCTCGTCCCATCGCCTCGTGCTTGCAGTATGGTGGATGTGTGGCAACTATCTTGAACTCAGTTGCCCACCGTGCAAAATCTTTTGGTCGGGACCCAACTAAATTGGGCAGGTGGGCATATGTGCGCGTCCAAGGCAAGAAGTTTGCAATGCCCACACCAGACGATCAAGTTCACAAAGCTTCCGACGCTTCAAGGAGTCGGTTCTCTAGGGATTTGGTTGTGGGGTCTGCGTACCGACCTAACCCTCCGGGAACTGGGGAGTCTACAGTGTGGGCACAACACCAGAGTTTCTTTCGCTCCCAAGGTCGACAGCGTGAACCAAGAAAGGCCTTTATGGTGGACCTACTTCAAGCCATCACCCAGTGGCGCGATGAAGGATGTGAAGTAATTTTGGGGGTCGATGCCAATGAGGACATCAGCTCCACTAAGTCCTCTTCTTTTCAACAACGTCTTTGTGCTGTTGGTATGGAGGAAGCTATGCTCCAACGACACCCCGGTCGAACGGCTGCCACTCAGCACCGGAACACAAGGGGCAAACCGATCGATGGCATTTTCACGACCTCTGGGGTGGCTGTACAGGCAGGAGGCTACTTAGAATTGATGGCACCGACTCTGGAATCACTCCCCTGCATACATCGGAGGAACGTATTGCCCTTGCCTGCACACCCAGTTTTGCAGCAACTTCCAATAAATGATCCAAGAGAAAGGCATACGGTACCACAACGACACTGACACCATCATGAACGCCTGTCAACTCAGCAGCCTTGGCCAGTAAAAAAAAACTTGCACTCTTCCCACAGCCGCATGGGAGTGTTGCATGCACATTTTTGGTAGGATTATCGACAACTAGTCGCAGAAACTCTTCTTGCCCATTCAAGAACTTAGAATTGTCCCCATAAATTGTCCTCAGTGCAAACTCTAGATCAGACATCTCCAAAAACGTCCTAGAAACACTCCTATCGTTCTCACCCAGACTTTTGTGAAAGATACGGAACATCTTGTCCAAGGGCCTTTCAACAGCATAGTGGGACTGGTGGGTGGTCAAAGAATGACCCGTCTGCTTAGCAATGCAGTCAGACTCTCCCCTCGAAATAGTAGCTCCGAAGATGAAGCTTGTGATATCTGTTCACACATGACGAAGATCCAGCATAGAAGGAAGAGTATCTAGCTGGAATATCTCCTGGGCCATGTGTGTTGGCTTCAGTCCATTGACTGAACAAGAATATCCCGTTTCTTCTTTGGCAAGAAGATACAAGAGATAAAAGCAACTCAAGGACCACGGTAGACGTCTTTCCACAAAACCATTGGATGTCCGGAAAACATTTGACTGCTTGAAACCCTCTGGCGAATACCATATCTCGCCATTGAAGAATCTTGGCCTCCCACACTCTTCCATTTCCTTTATTTCCGAATGCTGCATGGCACCAAAGCCAATACCATGAAACATGAGCTGCACCAGACTGTCAAGTTTTTCCATCACAGCATGGTCCTTCTTAAACTCAAAGCAGGTAGAATCCAACTTGTCACGGATGGTAAAATGATACAAGCCATTTGTTGTGTTAGTCTTTGGACTCAAAGATGGATCCAATAGAACAGAGAGCAGTGTGACGCCATTGCTTCCAAGAATCTCACCAAACAGTAACTGCATCCGGTCCCTCACTTTTGGGATTAGCTTGGACCAGATGTCCCTGGTGAATTTGTTACCGGCCACAACAACATCCCCGTTTTGAGATACATAGTCTCCGGAGCGTCCATTCTTTCTTGCCTTCTCATATTCGCGGACATGTTGGATAAGTGGAGACAATGTCTGAAAGACTCGCCCCTGCAGAGCAGGTGCATTTGAAGGAACAGCGCAAGATGAGGGCCGACCTGAAAGTCGTTTTTGCCAGTGACAGCCCTATCCAGCATAAAGAAGTTTTCAGCAATTTGCTATCAAGATCAGCAAGTCTTTTGCAAGCACCTTGACAAGATGAGCATGGAAGGCATGTTGCCTCCAGGTTGAAAAAGGCTACCACTCAGTATCAAAAAGAACTCAACCGGTGTTATAGGAAAGACAATGAAACAGAACAATTCATAAAGAAGTATAAGATCAGCGCCCCAGGTGTCAACAAGTTCCAGGACCATGACAAAATATCAATGATCCGATACGAGCCACCCACCGCGGAGAAACAATACCAAGCAACCTTCATCATTACTTGTGGGCGGAAGAAGGAAGTGCGCATCCCCAATGTCACAGTGGGATATCTTCAATACTACCTTGGTCGTGGATTTGTCGATAAATGTCTCATGTTTGGAGATAAGTGCGCTTTGAACGGTCTCAACCAACCTTCTTTCCATGTACCACTTGGAGACAGCAACTGGGACACAGCCCCTGACACATGCCTTTTCACGGTGAACAAAAACGGTGATAATGTGAAATGCCTACCATTTGTCCAAGGCGCTAGTAATTGTTGCCTTGGGTTTTCACTGGCAAACGCATTGCACCATCTGAAGTTCCATCCAGAGGCCCATGATTTATATTCTTTTTCTCACAATTTAAGTGAATGGGATGCCACTACTCAATTGAAGCAGTTGTCCTATTGGGTGCACCGCCCTGTGAAAGGAGTAAAGTGTTTGTCCGTCAAACACTCAAAGAAATTTGACGGATTGCGTGGATTGGCTGAATGTATGGAGGTCCTCAAAAAGGAAGAACTTGTTGTATTTGTACCACAATCAAGAGATGGGTCAAATACACATGCAGTAACATGCTGTGCTGGATTGATATTTGATGCTACACAACACTACCCCTTGAAACTATCAGAAGAGTCTCGTAGATTCATCGCTGGTTCTGCAGGTTTTGCAGGCATTTGGCGTGCACGAGTCTTTTCCCTTAGTAAACAGGCTCAAAAGTATTAATGAATGGAGTATTGAATGGGGCTGAAAGGAATAGGTTGGCTATCAACAACTGTTTTACTTGTTGCTCTTTCTTCTCTTCTTATTTGACTGGTTCCGCGATTTGGAATGGTATGTGTCCTGAGTACTTTTTCTGCTTTGATTAGTTGGATACCCGAGTGTCATCTCCCGTTGTTCCCTTGTGAGCACGCTTTTGGCTCAATGTCACTGAGGACGCAGTGTCGTGTACCAGCCATCTTTCGAACTCAGTCATCACGCCTATGGCAGCATCAATGTGTCTCTGGTTTATAGCAAGACGCATAATATCTTTTGCTTTTTGCAGAATGGCATTTCGCAGTTGTGAAGAGCGATGTTTGGGCTGACTCCTTAGTACGCCTTCCATGTCAAAGGCAAAGATTGGCTTGCCACTAGCGTTCTGCATACTACCATCATTTTCATATACATTATTTGGGGATTCCATGTCCTGGCTCTCGAAGGTGGCATCAAAATCGCTCTCTGAATCCATTTCCCCCAGGTCCTGCGACAGAGACAATTCTTGGACAAAATTGTTCATCATCTTTGCCTGATTGGGATACTGATGCCGCCTGTAGTTCCAGCACTCAGGAATGGGAGAGTTGTAGATTACCATCACACCGTCTAGGGTAAGCTCCGAATTTTCCTGTGTAATCACACGTGGATAAGTGCTGTTTCCTTCACTGCCGTCTATCATGCCTGTAAGCAAAGGTGTTTTCACAACAATACCAAAATGTTCCATACTTTGAAGTCGCATGAACTTGGTTGTTAGATCTTTGGAACCCTCCTTGTGTGCATAAAAGCCATAGTCGCATCGCCATCGACAAGCCACATCATTGATGTCATAATTTTTTTCAATTGCCAATAAATGGCGGCAGGGGATGCCATACTGGTGACCAAATCCACAGGAACAAACCAAAACCAACTTGGAGCAGTCGTAAGAATGTACTCGAACTTCAACTCTATGTGCCTGACGGAATTGTGGACGGCCAATGAACTGAAGGACAACCTTGGGGTGTTGTCAACTTTGGTGACAAAGCTCGGATAGCCACAAAAGTTTTGCGCGACAACTGCACAATCATGTATTTGCCAATTGCCTCTTCCATCTGAAGGATCAATGAAGATGATGCGATAGGCACTAGCTCATTCAAGCAATCAACGTTGTGAGTACCGGACTTGTCACTAATGTACAAGGGGGTAGACATAGCAAGTCGGTATTGCTCGTACTCCCGGTCCCTATTTTCATTTCCTTGTGACTATGCATATTTGAAGCGGCTGTTTTCAAGTTATGATGTGGCTTTGCGGCCATGGAACTATGCTTTGCGGCATAGTTCATTCCTTCAGTTGCGTTGGTGCAGTACTCATGTAAACAGTGTCTGTTTTGCTTCACATAGAATGCAAACTGCTCGTCATGAAGAGTAAGGATATGATTGTTGATCCAGTAGTTCAA